TAACATGGTCAGGTTGCATACTTCCATATTGTCCCTTGCTAAATATTTTAGCAACCTCCTTCTCCATGACTCTTGATCCTCTTCCTGTTTTCTGCCCTCCCACTTCCATGCCTTGTCCTTTACCTGCATCTCAACATTCTCATCCTTATCCTCATTTTTTTCTGTGCCTGTAAAGACTGTCAATAGGGGTGTAGATGACTACACAGTAGGGTCAAGTTCTGTGGGGACCAGACTCCCCAATACCCAATTGCTCCTGGAGGAATCTTCTTATGTGGGTTGGTTAATCAACTTGGAGAAGTCCTTCCAAAACATACTTGCCCTCTGCTGATATTTTAACTATTCCTTGCCATTGGCTTTGCCTATCTAAACATTGGTCTCACATGCTCCAGTTTTTTATATCTCACTTAAATCCCATGGCAATATCTAATTTGCAAATTCCTCCACCTGCGTCAATGCACCCTCTATCCTGACACTGTATACAATCACCTCACTCAGATAACGTAAGCACTTTTTCATGAGAAAGCATTGGTCACAGTCTTGTCTGATGAAGTTCTATGGTCGTTCCATTATGGATTGCAATTTTCGTGTTGACTTGTGGATTTTCATATAATTACAGTTTCCTTAAAATAAAAACTTGGATGTTTGCGGGTATGAATTCCCGTATTACCGTAGTCAGCCTGGCGGTTCATCTGACCTCCCCTATTCCTCCTTTGTTATCTAGCTTCTCTCTACAGTCAGGGGAGGGGTCACTGTCAGTTGAGGCTGTCCATGTTTTGGGTCGTATGGAAACATAAAAATTGGCCAGGGGTGTTTTTCTCCTGGGGCTTCTGAAGTTGCCTTTTTTGTTGATCCTGGTTATTATAGGGAGAATTTGGATTCGGTTTTTCTGATGCTTTTCTTTATTAAGTTGGCTTTTCACAAATCCAATTTGGATTAACCATCTCCTACTCCTTTTCTTCAATTAGTAAGTTGAGTTATGAGTATTTGGGGCTATTTCCTGTGACCATTAAGTCTATTTCTCCCTTGATGGTGGAATGGTTGGGGAGGGTACTATTTAGTTTTCCTTCTTCACCTGATAATCCTGGTTCATACTAAGAGATTTATTGCTTTATTACATGAAGGGATAGATATACCTTGTAACCTCCTTTGTTTCTTTGCATGCTTTGGCTTTCCACTTCCAGGTGGACGTATTTTTTCATTTCCACAGATTAAAATTATTTAATTTTGGATATATGGGGTTCCATGTTGGTTCATGTGATCACTTGAACCAATCACTTTTTTTGTATTTGTTTGCTCCTCACTCTTCCTTTGTTATGTTTCTTCCCCTGCAAATTGTTGGCAACCTATAAATGTGCAGATAAATGGGGTGTCTACTTGATTTTTACCTTGATCAGATTGTCTGCTTCTGTTCCTTCTGTAGAAATACCTTGATGATGGGACTTTGTCTATTTGCTGTAGCCTCTGGGTATTACATGTGGCTTACTTTTCTGCTATGTTTTGTATACAGAGATCAGGTTCTGCAGTTCAGGGATCTAGTGTTTCATCTAGCATCAGCACCATATGTTTTCAGCTGGATTGTAAATGATTTCACCATGTTTTATGCCCAGCTCAGCCACCTCCCATCCAGCACCAGGCTATGGAATGGGCAGTCAGGCTCTTACTTACAGGGAAGGTTCTATCTTTGAGGTTGTGGGCTTCCCTCAAATCTCTTACATTGTTTGGGAGGACACATGCTGTCCCTTAAGTGGTCCTGTTGCAACAAATGGATCTGGAACTTCGATACACTGGATTTTCAGTCTCTTTTCAGGTTAGTTTGGATCACCTCTACCATTAGCGTGTGTGTATGTGTATATGTATGTATGTATATCTATGTGGGTGTGGATGTATAAATATATAATGCCCCTCTATCCATAGTTTCTCTTCACAGATACTTGGGGATATGGTGTGTATCTTCAAGGTCAGGAATTATAGGATATATGAATGGAGGATGAAACTTCATTCTACATCAATAATTTAGGACTACTTGCTGTCCAACAGGCAAGAGTGAAAGGTCTAGATCTTTTGCAGGGGAATATCCTCATGAGATGTTTTAGCAATTCCAGTGGTCTCTTAAATTTTGTTCTTTCTCTATGGGGCCTATTCCAATCATGTCAGCCTCCTGGCTTGCCATTTTCCTGGGGGTGATGGACTTCATAGCAGATTGTCAGTCTCAGTCCTCTTTCTCCTGAACGAATGGATTCTCCGTTGTGCAATTTTTTGATAGTTTTGTTCACATTTTGGGCCTCTTTTATTAGCTTTTGGCCACTTATTGCTACTCAACTACAAACTTTGGGGTCTTCTCTACCTCATCTTCAGGCTTGGGTGATAGATGCAATTGGTCCCGCTTGGATGGGATTGCACATCTATGACTTTCCCTCACTTCCTCTGTTACTCAAGAGTTCTGGCGATATTTCGATCCTCTCCTTGCAAGATGTTGCTAGCCTAGATTAACTGGTCTAGCCATGATTTCCTCTTCTACAGTTTCTTCTTGCGAGTCCACCTCTACATCATCCTTTGTTTATCTTTACCGAGGCATCCTCAACCCAACCTTCTACACCAGGACTCTTTCCAGCTCATTGGGGTTTAACATCTACAGTTGGTTGGGGTGTGCCTCACAAGGAGTTTGTACCCACTTTACGAAACGTGTTCACCATTTCTTATTTTGACCTGTTTTTAACTTGGATTAAGCTTCATCTCCTGTCGTTTTGGTCAGATAACTTTTTCTTCTCATTTTAATTATCCTAAACATCTTACAGTTTTAGATTCCCCAATGCTAACCAGCCTTCTTTCCAAATGGCCTTTTCCATTACTTAATCGAAATATTAAGGTAGTACTATATGCCTTGTCTCAACACCCTTTTTGAACCTTTAGCCTCATGTACCATGTATCATCTCTCCCTTCATGGGTATTTTGTTGTTGCTGACATGCTGACACCATCAGCTGGAGTTGTTGACATGTTTGTAGGACTCTTTATTTCTCCTTTTAGGTCCTTCTGGACCCTGATGGTTCCTTTCTGGTCACCAGGGAAGGGGATACATCCCTCTCCATAATTCTTTTGCCACCTATTTCTCACCTCTACAATTGATCATATGCTGATCATTTGTTTTGTCCTGTCAGGCCCAGAGGTGTTATGTGGCTCACTCTAACTCCTTTCATGGTGTTCATTCTTATCTCTGTATTCTTTGGGATACTTTGGTTTCCAAAGGTTTATCCCCACTTCCTTGGAGGTGGTTTTACAAATGTCCAGGTTGCATATTATGGATTTTACAGGCAAGGAATCTTCTGAGAGTTACATCTCATCAGCTCAGCACATTTATATTTTTCACTGTCCTATTCTTTGACTCACCGGGGGGACATTTTACAGGCCCGTATGTGGACTTCTAATGCTTTTTTTCTCACATTCTTTATATGATCTGGCAGTTTTTATTCTGAGGGTTTTCCACTACCCCCTCCCCCCATGGATGTTTGAACAACATCTGCTAGATTATATGGAGGACAGGGTTGTCTTGTCTTTCTTTTTCAGGGTATCTTACATCTTGCTTTCACCAGATCCTTCTCTGTGGCACGTGTTGTTAGGTGCATTATTTAATTAAATACATTTATTTAGTGTAGTAGTACTATTGGTATAAAAAAGTAGTCCTAAGTTTTATTGATAGTCCATAGTAACAAAACAACAACAATAGACCAAAGGTAAGTACTATATTTCTTGTTTTTTGTGTATTCTCAACTTATTATTTCAAAAATAACTAAAAGGTAAAAATTAGAAACTTGTTAGGTTAGACTAGTTAAGATAATGAAAAATAAATAAAATAAAAATTCTTCATGAGGTATGTTTGCAAGAAGCTCCTATGTTACACAATTCAATATGTTAACATGAGTTGATTGTTTATTGAGTGATTTACAACATGTATGGTGGGATTATTAGTTAGATTCAGTTCAAAGGGCAATAAGACAATAAATAACTATATACAGATCTATATCGTTACAAGCTTTAAGCTATGTAGGATAAACAATAGTGTTTTCCAATTACAATTTCCAGTTATCATTCAAAGGAAAAAAGGTAATTTTGATTTATTTCTTAATTTCTTATGGTGATTATGAAGTTGGTCAAATCAACTGACTGTGTTTAGAGTTAGGGTAAAGAAAGTAACAGATAATATATAAAGTTTTTCTTAAAGAAAAGGAAATATGTTTAATTAAATATTCTAATTTTTTGTTTACTAAAACATGAAAAATATCATGAAGATACACAAGGCATATTAAAAGTTACAGTATGGAAACTCTGATGGTCACTTTGGAGTCACTAGGTTGATGTAATCCACTGAGCCCATGGTGAAAGGGTTAATGCTTTAAGAAAAATCTAACAACCTTTGGTTTGTACTGTGTGTTCAAAATATCCAGTAAAAACTTATAACTAAAATATCTCTTCTGCCTTTTGATATTCAGGGAGTATTATATGTATGTTTTAGGGAGTTTTAGTTACTGTGTTTGCACATATGATGATTGTATCGTATGCAAAATTAAATAATTATATGACAATATAATATGTAAATGACCATTAAAAAAAGTAAAAATGTCGTGGAAATCAACATGTTAGAGTGTAAAGACAAGCTACTAGAATAATACCTGGCTCAAGTTATTTAAGTTATGAGTCTTGTTTTTTTTGGGATAATGGAGTCTTATTTTCTAAGTCAAGTGTCAGGGCTTTGGACAGTCTTCAATACATTATATGTTTGAATAGTGGAATGAATTTAAGAGGTAATAAGATAAAGAAAAAAAGACTTCTTGAAAAAAATTTTTTGCAGTCAGTTATAGATTTGTAGCATAGTTTTCAATTGATTCATAATGTAGTTAAAAATCATACTATAGACCTCTCATTTTTGAACCTACATTGTCCATGTTGCAGCACAAGTGTTAACTTGCATTTTTTATTCCCAGTCTAATATTTACTTTTTTTTCAGGACAGAAGCTGAAGTTAGAGGTATATTTACTAGCCAGAAATATTACAATTTCATAACCACAAAATTGGTCAGCCAAAAATTATGGCCAGCTCATGTCAAGATGAGTCTTTTGATGATGGTGACAGTGATGCCAGTAGTGTAATTACAGCTCACAATGGATCAGTTGCATCAGAAATGACAGTAGACCGTTATGGTTTCCTAGGTGGAAATCAGTACACTGATCCCAGATTGTAAGTATTCCTTTTAAAAGTTATACTTAATATTCCTTATGATAAGATGCATCAAAAAATGGTGTGCATAAAATGTAATTGAAAAAAGTGTATTGTAAATTTCAGTATTTCCAACTAATTCATAAGATAGAAAACAAAGTTTTATAATAAATATTAAAAATGCAGTATTACCAAAAAATATCTTTAAATTCCACAATCAGCATTAATATCTCAAAAAAGTTAGTTCATAATATTCGAACTACAGAAAACAACATAAGCATTGACCAAGTTTGTGTATTTAATCCAAAGTTTAGAAAGGACAGATTTAAATGGTAATAATATAATGGAATGTATGATAAAACGTGCAGCAAACACGTTTAATAAATAACATTGTTAACTCTTTCCACATGGCTAAAACGCCATGTAATCTCATTCATTGACTCGCATACAAAATTTTACTGAACTACTATTTCATGAATTTATGTCAGTA